GCCCAATCACCTCTCGCCCCCCTCCCAATCCCAGCACCTAGCCAACAGCCAACAGCCCCGTAGAAGTGACACCTCAATCAATTCATGCCCCTTCCTATATAACCCAGCACCTTTCCCTAATAAAGCGGAACTATCCGGTGAATTGCTGCTATGTGTCGCTCCTTTCCTTTCAGTGTGTCCCAGGAAACATGAATGATCAGAGCAGCACTATGCAATTTTTTTTAACTGAAGAAAAAAAAAAGGCCATTTTTTAACTGAAAAAAAAAGGGAGACACATGTTATAGATACATAATGCAATATTGCACAGCACTGAAAGCCAATGAAGTACAGCGTGTAGAACATGGATGAGTCCTAGTGACACAATGTTGAGTGGAAAAATTAAACACAGTTTGAGACCTTTTTCCAAGATGAAAAAACAAACTTAAAAAAGTACTATAATTATTTAACCTTTGCAGTTAAAAAAAAATTCCTTTTTCAGAATTCATGCCATATCTTCCCAAAAAGAGTACAAACTCTTGAGGCAGGGACATCTTTTTATTTTTATTTGTATCTCCTAGAGTGCCTAGACAAGTACCTGAACAGATGGGTGCTCAAAAATAATTATCCATTGAATGGTTCCTGAGTGCTACCTAACTAAGGCTTTTTAATGAAATTTAAATCTTCCCCCAAGTCAAACAGTTTCTTGAATAAAGTCACATAAAACTTTTATTTTAACCTAATTCTATTTCTGCAGTGGTACTACAGACACTCAACCAAAAACATTCCATCTTGGAAGGACTTCCCCTTTCTTTTTGGAGTAAAGTTAACATAAGGGTAACACAATCTAGAGAAAAAGAAAACATATCACGTGATCCTGTAAAAACCAACATAATCACATCGTACGACTCCATGAGACATCTGATAAGCCATGGGTTTGAAACTGAGCAATCACAAAAGTAACTCATCCACCGCATGTATAAGTGAGTTGCCAAGATCAAAACTGAAAATAGGAGCAAAAACAGTATTTTCAGGCTTTCTTAAAGCAAAGATTTTAATTTAAAATATTTTGTTTTTACTTGGAGAAAAAAAATTATTTTAAGGGGAAACACATGAAACCCAGGGGTAGAAGAGTAGAATAATATTCCGCCAATCAGGGCCTTCCTTTTAACCCAGTGAGGGCTACGCGTGTTAACTGTAGGTGATCATAGTGAAGTTACACTGCAGCTTCCCTCCGACCTTGGGAACTCTGCTCGGTCTCAGTTACTGTGGGCTCTTCTGTTTCATTTATTATTAGTCTTTGTATCTGCAATGCTGTAGCACTGGAAAGGAGTATCAACACTATGAGCTGGCAGTACCTAAAACTGTACAAATGCCTCCAAAAAAACAAAGGGGGAGAGGGAGAAAAAATACAACCAAAAGGAAAAACAAAGTTAATGATATTAAGATGGGGTATTTAAAATTTTTACATTTGAAGGAAGAATACGTTTACTAATCAGCTCTATGATATACAACTGTCCATTAGCACGCAATTTTTAAATTTAAGATGTTCAAGAAAAATTATTTTGTCATTTGGAAAAAATATCACAACTGAACATAACATACAATTTGTTAAAAACTAGTCCAGCGATTTAAAACAGAGTGAATTGTTACAGAGAAAAGGCCAATAGAACTTTGTGTCCGGGAGGAAGAAAAAATCTGGCAACCCACTGGGTTCACTTAGTTTCGTGTCATTTGCTTTACGTCCATTATGTAATGCTTTCCCCGCTTTAGGTCTCATGCGTAAGCTAGCGTTCAGATATATCACAGAACTGCCACGAAATCCGTATCTGTCATAACTTCCAAAAACATTTTAGAAGATGTCACGTAGATACGTGTAGTAGAGGCTTTTTAAAAATCTGCTGGTGTCATTACTTCTTCCAGGCTTCCTCCTCCCCAGGTCTCCCCACACCTCCTCCCCCAGCATCCCCGGCGAAACGATCTGCGGGCAGCTCTCGGCTGGATGCAGGGGAAGCACGTCTTGACTGCAATGCAAACCCTGTCCCGGTCTGAACCGGGGAAGGCAGACTCGGCCCTGGCCGGGGATGTGGACGGAGGCTGCAGAGGAGCCAGCGGCGGGTGGGCAGTGGTGCCCCGCGAGGGCAGTCCGCAGTGCACGCGCACAATAAAACCCAATGCACAACTTCCCCAGCCGCTCCTCTCGCCTCCCGGGATTCGCTGAAAGGTGCGGCGTAGGCGTTAGCTGGAGCGGACGCCGGCGCTCTCACCCGCGCGGGTTCGGTTCTCCGCTGACAATTACATCAGTCCTTCCCCCTAACCCAGCTCCAATCCCCAGAAGCCTAGGGGAGCGGGGGTGCCCAGCAGCGCGGAGGAATGCGGCCGCGAGCCGGGCAGTCGAATTCCCCGACAACGAGGGGGAAGGGAGGCGGCGAGCGGGGACTGTGACCCAGACGCCCCCTCCCACCTCGCTGCCGGGCTGCACTGGCCCCGCCGCTCTCCAGCCTCCCTGCCGCCCGGGCGATCCTGCCAGGGGAGCCCCCGGGGAGCGGGGATGCCTGGAGGGCCCAAAGCAGGGCTGCCCACCCGCGCGTGCCCGGAGCCCTCGGCCCTTCAGACGCGCACAATGCCCCCAGCCGCGGCGCGGACACCGGCGTGTCGGCTCCGTAGGTCCCTCTGCAGCGAGGACACCTACCTGGAGCGAGCAGCGGCACGGCCGACTCTGCAGCGCGAGGCGGGAGGAGGCCCGGCGGGCAGACGGGCGCGCGGGCTGGCCTGGGAGCGGAGGCGCGGGCGCCGCCTGCGCGGAGCCGCGGTCTCCAGCACCGACAGCAGTGGCGGCGGCGGTGCTGCGCCTCCAGTGGTCCGCCGCGCCGCAGCCCCTCCTCTCCCACGGGCGGGGCGCGCTGGCGGGGCGGTGCTCCAGGCTCCCCGCCCCCGGCATCCCGCACGCCCGTCTGGCGGGAGTGGAACCGCGGGTGGCGGGCGCTCCCGTGGCGCTCCCGCCCTGCCTGGGTACCCCTCCTGTACGGGGAGAGCCGAGCTTCGGAAGCGCGGGTTCCCGCTGCCTGGGCGCACCCCGGTCCGGCCCCGGTGGGAGCCCCTGGTGTCCGGAGACCACCGCGCGCAGACCCTGACCGGCATCCCCGGGCTGAGAGCCGTGAAGCGCCGTGCTTGTCCAAACCAGCGGAGGTGGGCGGGCCCGGTTCTCAAGGAGGGGCCCCGAATAGCCCCCGCGCTCGGGACCGGCAGCGCAGCGGCTCCGAGCCCCGCGGATGAGCGGATTCGGGAGGCGGCAGCCCGGTGGCCTCCCTGGAGGCTCTGCCAACGCCCCGTCTCAGGGGGCCATCAAGGCTGGTCTTAAACACACTGAACTGTGTGCGCTGCCCCCCTTCTCCCCTACCCCGTCTCTGGCACTGCGGAGCAAAACTTCCCAGGCCCAGAGAAATCCCTGGGTTTTGTGAAAGGACCAGTTGTAAAAAGCCCCACCTCACCCTTCTCACCCCTCTTGAAACTCTTCCACCCTTAAACCTTTCCCAGTTGAGGCCTTAGAGCAGATTAATCTGAAGGCAAATTTGCTGGAAAGGACGTGGTAATTTAAATATTTGCACAGATGTTTCTTC